AAACTATGGCAACTTCTTAAAGAAATGGGAGTGCCTGACCACCTTATCTGTCTCCTGAGAAATCTATATGTGGGACAGGAAACAAGAGTTAGAACTGGATATGGAACAACTGATTGGTTCAAAATTGGGAAAGGAGTATGACAAGGCTGTATATTGTCCCCTGGCTTATTTAACTTATATGCAGAATACATCATGTGAAAGGCAGGACTGGAGGAATCCCAAGCCGGAATTAAGATTGCCAGAAGAAATATCAACCATCTTCGATATGCAGAGGATACCACTCTGATGAGGAGGAATTAAAGAACCTCTTAATGAGGGTGAAAGAGGAGAGTGCAAAAAAATGATCTGAAGCTCAACAGCAAAAAAACTAAGACCATGGTCACCGATCCCATCAGCTCCTGGCAAACAGAAGGGGAAGATATGGAGGCAGTGGCAGATTTTACTTTCTTGGGCTCCATGATCACTGCAGATGGTGACAGCAGCCATGAAATTAAAGGATGCCTGCTTCTTGGGAGAAAAGTGATGACAAACCTCAACAGCATCTTAAAAAGCAGAGACATCACCTTGCCAACAAAACTCCGCATAGTCAAAGCTATGGTTTTTCCTGTAGTGATGTATGGAAGTGAGAGCCGCACCATAAAGAAAACTGACTACCGAAGAATTGCTGCTTTTGAATTGTGGTGCTGGAAGAGGCTCTTGAGAGTCTCCTGGACTGCAAGGAGAACAAACCTATCCATTCTAAAGTAAATCAACCCTGAGTGCTCATTGGAAGGACAGATCCTGAAGCTGAGGCTCCGATACTTTGGCCATCTCATGAGAAGAGAAGACTCCCTGGAAAAGACCCTGAGGTTACGAAAGTGCGAAGGGAAGAGAAGAAGGGGACGGCAGAGGTTGAGATGGTTGGACAGTGTCATTGAAGCTACCAACATGAATTTGACCCAACTCTGGGAGGCAGTGGAAGACAGGAGGGCCTGGCGTGCTCTGGTCCATGGGGTCACGAGGAGTAGGACACAAGTAAACGACTAAACAACAACAACAAGAAGAAAGCATCTGTGATATTACACGGCCAGTCGAAACAGCGTTCTGTAAGCCCTTACTGATAGGAAGGGGCAGTCCAAACAAATGGTTATAACCTTTAAGCAGCTTCTGGAATTAAAGATCCTACTTGCAGAACGTTGTAGACAGTATGAGCTTCCTCTCAGCCAAATTTGAAGGTTGGACAAGTATTCTTAAAGTTCTAATTTCAGGGTTTTTAAACACCCCCCCACACACACACATGATCTCTTTTTACTGCCATTTTTTCATGCTTCACGACAACTTTGATAGTTGTTTTTCAAATGCCTGCCAATACTTCCTGAAAAGGAAGTGATTTGTGGTACATTTTTTTTAAAAAATTGAGTGTGATCCATCCTGTTGTCTAGAAGATCCTAATGTTATGTAGGAACAACTTTGTAAACTTTGGCTACAGGTGCTTATTGTGGTACTTCATAGCAGACTTCTTGCCAGTGAGTCTCATTGTGATGAATGGGGTTTGCCTCTGGGCAAGATGGTATGTTGGGACTTCAGGGAGAAGAAGGACATAAAGACAGAGAGGGGCCACTGAAAGAGGAGAAAGTGGAATGAGGGGCACTCTGAGAGAAACCACACAAAGCGAAATTGATAGCTCAGCAACAGACAGAGAGAATTTATCTGGAATATTCAGTGGCCAGAGGAATCCAAGGCTACTCTGCACCTCTACTTCTTTCTTACTTTTTGTTATTTAGATAGAACAAATCAGTGTCTGCATACTCTGAAATGGGCCCCATTCAGTTTTAACAGGGCTTATTACCAAGAGGTACCGTAATTTGTCCTTCAATTCTGCACCTATGAACTTAGCCATAAATCTTGTTCAAATTAATGAATCTTACTTCTGGGCAAGAGGATATATTAGGAATGCAAGCCAGTCAATTCAGTTGGACTTTGTTCTGAGTATGCTGACAGGCAGGATCATTTTCAGACATGGTATTTTCTTGAGTTAAGAATACCAGATGCCTGACTGGGGTTTTTAAATGAATGGTTGTGCATTACTGCTGGAATACTGTTATGGAGGGATACTGTTTTGTAGTGTCTGGCCTGTGCTGTAAATCAAGCATTACTTCACTCTTCTCTGTCACCCGTTGTGAATAAGAAAAGGCAGTAACTGTGGTAACACTGTGCTTATACACTGGAGCTGCAGACAGCTGTTCTTTCACTGCAATTAAACTTACTACAGAGTGAATGAAAAACTAAGGATAATTATTTTTTCCTTTGCTATTACATTAGATAAAACATTATATGATCAGGCATTATCTTATTTAGCACATTTGTTAGCAAAGTAAAAGGTCAGTTTAAATCTTACTGTTTCAAGTGTAATATGACAAAACAAATGATGGTAAATGCTTTTCTGTTTGTAGCACCCCGAAGCTGGGTAAGGCCACAAGAACCTTCTCCCACGAAGAGGTAGCCATGGACCTCTGCTTTGAAATCTGGAGCACAGTTGCTGGAATCCAGCTGTCTTGAAGAAAAAAGTATCAAATGGACGTTTATAAGAGCTTTTCATTACAGAATGTGCAGAAAAATAGCTGTATTAACAACATTATAGGTTCCATTCTGTATTGTCAATTTGGCTTTAATGAAGCTGATCAAAAAGCAGAAATTAATTAAAATTTAATGACTTGATAGTTGATAGGTGGTGGAAGATCATCAAGCACAAACTGTAACGCAAGAAGATGAATGGATTATTTCACAGAAATGAAAATCTTATACAACTATTGTATAAGATAAGAAAAAGCATCAACAAAATATCTGTATTGAAGTCAGCCTATATAACTTCTGAATTGGTTATCAATATTATGATAATAGAACAAATATAGAAATTCATTTTTTTAAAAGAACTGCAGTCATTTTCATAGATGAGTGCACTGAATGCATTGTTATTTTATTGAATTGTGCCTGAGGCATTTTGTTTATTAAACAGCAAATACAATTTGTATTGATACATATTTGAACTAGATTTTTCTACCTTAAGAAAACTTCTAATGTGTAACTACTTTTTATATTCATGCATGGGAAGTTAAGGTTTGAGCATACAGACTGTATATACATTATTCACAACACAAACTTTGGAAACAAGGTACAGTACTCTACAGGGAGAAGTGCAGCTGAGCGGCTAACAGGTTTTTATAGTGTTCCTGGAGGAAAGGCATAATAATTATCTTAATATTATAAACTCAGTAAAAGGTACTATGCGCCAGAAGTTGTTTTGCCAACAGATCTGTTGAAGCCAGAAAAAAAAGTTAAATGATACATTTTATAGCACAGTTTTGACACTAATACTTTGGCAGGAAGAAGCATGAGGTCTTAATACCGAAAGAGAAAATAATAGAGTTGTATGTGACAGTCAAAAGAAATAAGCAGCAAAGGGCCCAGGAAGGTCAGCCATGCAGATGTCCAATAAACAATAGGATAGTAGCACACTATTCTCCTTGAACTGGACTTACTTCTGTGTATATATGTTTGGAATGGCAGCCTAAGACTAGCACTCAGTTAAAAAATTGGAAACATTTGTACTGCAAGTAACAAGTACAAATCTGAGTAGCTCTTTAGAACTCAGTGTATATTGGACCATCGACTTACAGGCGGCTCGACTGACAGACTTTTCGAGTTACAGACTTCTCTGGCTGCAAAATTTAGGTTCGACTTGCAGCCGGAGAATTGACTTACAGACCAGAAAAAACAAACAAAATGGAACAAAAACGGCTGGTTATGGGATTAATTGGTTTTCAATGCATTGTAGGTCAATACAGACTTTTCGACCTGCAGCCACCGTTCCAATACGGATTAATTCCGTAAGTAGAGGGTCCACTGTAACAGGATGATATAATTTTTATCTGGATTAATTACAACCAGTGATATTGGGTGGGTGGACCAGTTTCAAAGCATTTGAGAAGGAAAGGGCTTGGCCAGGCTGACAGCACAGACAGAACAAATGAATATTGATTTGAGGGTGCCTTATAACTTCTAATGTTTATTTTACAGACATATTCAACATCAAGGCGAGGCTCCATTATTTGTTTCTCATTATTTGAAATAACTTATATGGAAAGATTTTTTTTGTCCTACTCCTAAAACACAATATCGTATTTACAAGTCCAGTATGGTAGAGGCAGGAGTATGTATTTTGTAGACACATACATGATAGCCTAAGGGAAATTGTTCCTTATAGCATGGATGGGGAAAATGTGACCCTTTAGATGCAAAAGCGTGCTGCAGTCCGACTCCAATTCCCATCAGCTTTAGCAAGTATTGCCTGAGGTGAGGGATCACTGCCTAAACAATATTCTGTTTATATATTCTTCTCCATGGTTTCTTTCCACTATAAAATGGTTATTCCCCTGGGCCAATGACAATATTATATCTGCCATTGGAAACTCTTCTCCATGATGGCAACTCATAAATACAGAAGTGCCTGAGCACATGTTTTGGCTCTCCATGCACAGCAAGCAGTTTTTACACATTGCAGTTACTGTGCAGAGCTACTGCTACAGGTTTTCCACGATAGATGGAGGTCTAAGAATGTGTTTTGTATTTTCCCTCCTTCCTCTTGTCTAATTGAGAAAAGGAGCTGTTCAGGTGAAAAGTTCTCAGTGCTGTTCCTTTCAGTAGACTTTGATCAATGATGCCATTAGGTAATTTTAGATTCTGGCAGACCTGGTGGTATTATCTCTCTCATCTCCCTCCCCTTTAAAATGGCAATGTGAATTATTTCACTTATGTCAAATTGCAAGAAGCCAGTCTTGCTGTATTTGTAGGTGCTTTTCCTCATTCTGCTGTGCAAGCCCCAAAGTCTGATCCTGGCTGCACCACTTAGTCGACTATGCTATCCTTTTGTACTGTTTGACTAATGGAGGGTGGAGGCACTTTTCTTTGGCAGTCCCATTTCTGCCTAAACACTTTTGGGAAATGTTGCTGGAAGCTGTTGCCTGCTCCATTGTGTTTATACTGCAAGATGCTGAAATTTTGCTTTTTCTTCCACACAGTTTTGACCTCTCTAAATGAAACAGTTAGGAGACGGTCTGGTGATTTGGAATAAAATGTCATTAATCCATCTTGTTCAGTACTGGTTTTGGACTGAAAAATATCCTAAATGAGTACCAATAAACTGAAGATCAATCCAGATGGTTATGGGCACAGTTGGCCAGGAAATTTAGATGGGTTGCATTGTCCATTAAATATCAGATTTTCAACTTGGGGTACGTTGTTACTTAATAACTTCTTGGACTGATGGACTTTTAAAAGTCAACAGGCAGAAAAAATCAGCTGCTAATTGACAAGACGGTACTAATAAAATAAAAAGATGAAAAATAAATCTTAACATGGTGTGGATAGATTATAAAAAGGCATCTCATCCACTGCCACACAGCTGGATTAACACCCGCCTAAAATATTTGGGATTAGTAAAAATATTTAGAATTTCTCAAGAAAAATGTGGAAAACTTGAAAACAGTTTTACTGGCTTATGGTGAAGAAATCAATGACATTTACATTAAAAGAAGAATAATTCAAGGAGATTTTCTGTCACTGTTACTATTTAGCATCCCACTAGTCCCCATGTAAATAATTTTAAATGAAACTGGATTGGGCTACATATTTCATGTCAAGCAGGAAATATCAATCATCTGCTATACATAGATGACCTAAAATTATATGCAAAAAGCCCTACCAAGATAGAATCACAGCTAAATACAAGGCAAATATTTAGGAAAGATATTCAGATGAAATTTGGCCTTGACAAATGCAGTTTGCTGTATACAAAATCCAAAACCTGTACATAATAGAGCTAAAATATGATGCAATCATAAAATCATTGTCAAGAAGCAGACACAGTAATCTGCATGCAAAAGTTAAAGATCTGACACAAAGCAAATACAGTAGGACCATGGCATCTGCAGGGGATTGGTTCCAAAAATTTACACACCCATATGGGTGCCAAAAAACGCAGAAGTAGCGAACACTATACATTGTGCTGCCTCTTGCTCACTCTAATTGCCAGTTCTAGTAAATACACCCTGAAAATACATATAAATACATATTGCTGGGTTTTTTAATATAGTATTATCAGGCAGCAGATAAGTGAATCAGCAGATACTAATTTCAACGATGACGGATGTCCTATTGTATATCAAAGGCCTGTCAAAATGTTTACAAACAATTAAATGGTGGAAATACAACCAAAGCTGTAAATATATGAGCAGTTCCAGCAATTAAATACCCAGCTGTAATAGAGTGGATCAAAAATTAATTAGAAAAATTAGATTTAAAATGTCGAAATTAGTCATGGGATGTTTGCAGTCATTTCTCAGGGGAAACAAATATGAATATTGGCATAACAGATACCTGAGACGTTTGAACCCTCCCCCAGGAATTGGCCAGTTCACTTACTGGTTGCCACATGGCGTGTGCAGCTGTCATCATTTTTGATGTGCCAATTGCAGACGTAGCCTGGCCAGTGCTTGACCATCTCCTTGGGCAGCTGACCACTTCAGTGAGGAGGCAGGATGATGAGTCTCCTCACTGAGCTGCTGAGCGGCCGGCTGCCCAGGGAAGTGGGGAAGTGCCAGCTGGGCTACTTCTATTATTGGCACATTGCAAACGACAACGGCAACCAGTAAGTGGACCAGCTGGTTCTGGATGTGAATGAATATTTATACTACATCCAAAAACAATGTGGGCAGATTATATTTAATGCAGAAAATTGGATGTCAATATAACAAATATGACAGGTGTTGTTGTTGTTGTTTCCAGTAAGTGGCTGGTTCTGGATGTGAATGAATATTTATACTACATCCAAAAACAATGTGGGCAGATTATATTTAATGCAGAAAATTGGATGTCAATATAACAAATATGACAGGTGTTGTGTTGTTG